ATCAATGAATTTAGTAAAGCTGCAGGATACAAAGTCAATACACAGAACTTGCTAGGATTCCTATATACCAACAATGAAAGATTGGAAAAAGAAATTAATGAAAGAATCCCATTCACCATTGCAACAAAAAGAATAAAGTACCAGAAATAAGCCTACCTGAGGAGACAGAAGACCTGTATGCAGGAACCTGTAAGACGCTGATGAAAGCAATCAAAGATGACACAATGGAGAGATACAACATGCTCTTGGATTGGAAGAATCAATATTATGAAAGTGACTATACCACCCAAAGCAATCTACAGATTCAGTGCAATCTCTAGCAAAACACCAATGGCATTTTTCACAGAACTAAAACAAAAAAATCTTAAAATTTGTATGGAAACTCAGAAGATCCCAAATAGTCAAAGCCATCTTGAGAAAGAGAAACAGAGCTGGAGGAATCAACCTTCCTGACTTTATACTATAAACAAATTTTTATACCTCTTAGTAGTTTTACATGTTTGCCAAATACATATAGGTCAGGCATGTATCTTGCCAAGCTTAATATAATAAATATGATTATGTGTGAATTCATAATTATAGCTTTTTATGATAATGATGTAGCCAACCAACCCAAAAGTTTCTCAAGCTAATAACAAGAAAATATGAATATTATTTAGCTGAACTTATTTTTGAAAAATTATGTGCAGCACTATGTTAATATTATGTGTAATAGAAATGTCTATATAAATTATGTATAAGCATCTATATAACTTCTGTGTATAATTATGCATAAAAACCCCAATGTTAGCAGTAATGATCAGTGGTTAGTGAAATTAGAAGAATTTGTTTCCCTTGCGTTTTGTACATTTTCAATTTTTTTCTACAAATAAACAGTGATTCTTTTGTTTTTATAAAAGAAGAGTTGCAAAACAAGCTATAAAAGTAATAGTTGCAAAACAATGTTTGAAATGATTTGTTGATTAGTGTATAATGCCCAGTTGGTTGACTTTATTCTATGGGGAATATTTGATGGCTTTGGGGGAATTTCATTATTATCTTCACAAACAGATTTGAAGACAGAAGATATAAATATCTTTTTCTTCACAGGGCATTTTCCAAGAATATTAATTAGAAATGAGCATTTGTTTGGACATTTTTGTTCTTATACACTGAACTCTTCATGAAAGTTTGTATTTTATGGCATCTCTGTATCTTCTTATGGGAATTTCAGGTGAGAACACAATGCTTTATTTCATTGTCATTATTCTTTCCATGAAAAGTGATAGAACATATTTAGTTTTAGTACCTAGAGTCTCTCATCAACTGCCAAAATATTTAAATCATCTTTTCAGATGATTTGTCTACCAAATAAAACAGAAAGCAATCCTAAACTTAGTTAAATATATGTTATATTCTGTGGGGCTTCCCTGGTAAAGAATCCACCTACAATGAGGGATTGTAGGGATTGTAGGGATACCTGGTTTCAATCCCAAGGTTGGGAAGACTCCCTGGAGGAGGACGTGGCAGCAACTCCAGTATTCTTGCCTGGAGAAGGCCCCTGGATAGAGGAGCCTGGCAGGCTACATTCCACAGGGCCTCAAAGAGTCAGAGACAACTGAGTTACTAAGCATACACATACATGTTCTCTGAACTGTTATGGATACAAAGCTATACACTTCGGGAATGAAGACATGAATTCATGCTATTACATAGAGTCTGTGTGCTTAACCACTATGCTATGCTACTTACTAAATAGCAAAGAGGACTCATAGTCTCAAAGGCTGGAGGCAGATGTTCCTTAGAAAATCCAGGGCACTACAGATAATCTTAAAATGAAGCCATAAAGTGTTTTAGGTATAATCATTTAATAATTTAGAGGTAAAATTAGCTTCAGAAAATTGGTTACATTTTTGTTACATTTGGTTACATTTTTCTTTGCCAGAATAATGACTTATAGAATGAATATATTTAACATTCTTATCTGTAAAAGTGGAATTCATTCTGGCCTTTATTGTACTTTCACAAAATCCAGAAGGTTTTCCAAAGTGAAGAATGATAGGGTTATGGAGCTGTTAGGGCAGTTTATGTCTTTGCCTTTATCCTGTTTCTTGTTTATTTTGTACTTCGCTGGAAATAGGCAGAAAGATGGAGTTGATCACACCTGCCCGGAGTCACACCTTACATTCTAGGCAGATTGTAAAACAGGAAAATGTGATCCTTTCAGGGATTTGTCAGCAGTGTGCTTACTTAATAATTACTGCCAATGCTACCAACTCTCTATACTTTTAAAAGTCTAATATTAATCTCAAAACACCTGTTTTCCTATTCTTTATGTAGATGCAAAAGAACTTTTTCTCAACATAGCCTCTCTTATAGAATATATACTCTTCAGAGGTTAACTTAGTCAGAACTGAATTTTTCACAAACTCTATATTCCTTAAATTTTCCACATGGTGTCCTCTCTTTGAATTATAAAGTAGGCACTTGGAGAAAATGTTTTAGGCCAGCAGAGACTTGCCAGTGAAGTCTTCAACAATGTTGTACAGAATTGGTGACTAGGTTAAAGAAATAAAGATCTGTGTTGGAATGACTCCCTCTTGGCTGGACATGTCATGAAAGCAGGGAGCTGTGAATCCAACAATTTTGAGTACTCCCTTGCAGGGTTATGTTCTTAGATCAGCTGCTTCTAAATGGCCATACCCTGTTTCATATAAACCAGGCAGGGATTTGGGTACATAAAGCACATTTTATGTTCAGAATTCTGCATAATTTTTCATTGATGAGATGCATTGTGATGATGTGGACTTAGGTTTACCTCCTGGGTTTCTATAAGATCTATCCTTCTTACATACTTCCCAGGATCACTTACTTCACACATAGCTTAAAAAAATTTTTTTTTAATTGGAGGATAATTGCTTTAAAATATTGTATTGGTTTCTGCCATAAATCAGCATGAATCAGCCACAGCAGACATATATCACCTCCTACACCTCTAGACTGTCAGAGAGCACCAGTCTGCACTCCCTGTGTTATGCAGGAATTTTCACTAGCTATCTGTTTTACATATGGCAATGTATATATTTCAATGATACTCTCTCAATTCATCACACCCTCTCCTTCCCCCACTGTGTCCACAGGTCTGTTCTCTACATCTGTGACATCCTGCTCTACGATTAGGTTCATCAGTACCATTTTTCTAGATTCCATTATATGCATTAATATACGAGACTTGTTTTCCTCTATCTGACTTACTTCACTCTGTATAATACACTCTTGGTTCATCCACCTCAGTTCAACTGACTTAGATTTGTTCCTTTTTATGGCCCAGTAATATTCTATTGAGTTCATGGAGCAGTTACTATATCCATTCATCTGTCAATGGACATCTAGGTTACTTCCGTGTCCTGGCTATTATAAATAGTGCTGCAATGAACATGGGGTACTTTTTTTTTTTAAATTATGGTTTTCTCAGGGTATATGCCCAGTAGTGGGATTGCCTGATCACATGGTAGTTTTACTCCTAGATTTTTAAGGAATTTCCATACTGTTCTCCTTAGTGGCTTTATTAATTTACATTCCCACTACAGATGTCTTTATTAATTACTTTCTATCAATGTAATTCATATTTATTCTTATCTGATTTGGATATAAACAACAATTATAATTTTTACTACTTAAATTGAAACAGTTTGGAAACAGTGGCTTTTTGACATGGTATCTTTTGTAATGTTTTGATTCCCTCTGATTTTGAAAGTCCCAGTTCTAATTTCAAACATAGCAGGGAAAAAAAAGTTATAATTTTTCCATATTATGTGCCTTTGACATGTCAAAAACCATTTCTGATTAACTGAATGATAATTGTTTACTTGGCATGTTTAACATCTTTTAGATCCTTCCCAAATCTGCAGATGAACTGGTTAGTGTCAGTTATTTTTCTTCTTAAAGGAGGGTTATTTTAGCATTTCAGTATAACACCTGAGTTAGAGGTTCTGTATTTGACTGAGCCAGGAACAACAGTATTCTAGGTTAGGACAGCAAACTAAAAAGGTTTGATAACAGAATGAATCATTATGATCATATACGAGAGTTTGTTGGATAAAATTATTAAATAATAAGAATCTATTTGAAATTTTCAGTGGTTTTGATGAATTTATAATCAAAAGAGTCTATTAGGGATATGGGGTAAGTTGTTGTATATATAATCAAAGAACATAATGATAATGGATAGAAATCAACAGAAATGGGATTTTAACTTATTATCTTCTTTTTACTCTTTTTTTTTCTTTCTTATTCATTGCCATCTACTTTCTTTTTTTTTTTTTCCATATATTTTTATTAGTTGGAGGCTAATTACTTTACATCATTGCAGTGGTTTTTGTCATACATTGACATGAATTAGCCATGGATTTACATGTATTCCCCATCCCGGTCCCCCCTCCCACCACCCTCTCCAACCGATCCCTCTGGGTCTTCCCAATGCACCAGGTCTGAGCACTTGTCTCATGCACCCAACCTGGGCTGGTGATCTGTTTCACCCTAGATAATATACATGTTACGATGCTGTTCTCTTGAAACATCCCACCCTCGCCTTCTCCCACAGAGTCCACAAGTCTGTTCTATATATCTGAGTCTCTTTTTCTGTTTTGCATATAGGGTTATCGTTACCATCTTTCTAAATTCCATATATATGTGTTATATATTCAGTTTTAAGGTAATTATGAATGACAAGATATGGACTAAGTTAACTGGTAGATGACTAGCGCATCCTCCATAACCCTTTATGTAATTATATGTGTATATATATATATATATACACACACACACAGTGACTTCTGAAAATAATTTATAATATTTATAATATAACTATAATACTCTTTGGTGTGTTTTAAAAGGAGAGACTCTGTACCTTCAGATAGGGCATCTGACACAGAGAACTAAGACGTTACCATCCAATATACATTTTCATGACCCTTATTTTTTATTTCACTTCTCCATTGCAGTGATCAGCCTGAGTGGATATGATGGAGGCAAACAAGACTCTGGTGACAGAATTTGTTCTCACAGGACTCACAGATCTCCCAGGGCTGCAGGTCCCCCTGTTCCTGGTGTTCCTGGTCATCTACCTCACCACCATGGTGGGCAACCTTGGACTGATTCTTCTTATCTGGAAGGACCCCCATCTTCACACCCCCATGTACTCATTCCTGGGCAGCTTGGCCTTTGTAGATGCCTGTTCTTCATCTTCTGTGACTCCTAAGATGCTTGTCAACACCTTAGACAAGAGTCAAACAATGTCTCTCTTTGAGTGCATGGCCCAATACTATTTTTTTGGTTCCAGTGCCACCACAGAATGTTTCCTCCTGGTGGTGATGGCCTATGATCGCTATGCAGCCATATGCAACCCCTTACTTTACCCAGTGGTGATGTCTGACAGACTCTGCACTTGGCTGATAAGTGCATCATATGCGATTGGTTTTCTGCATCCTATGATACATGTAGGATTATTGTTTAGACTATCTTTCTGTAGGTCCAACATAATTCATCATTTCTACTGTGAAATCTTGCCACTTTTTACAATTTCTTGCACTGACCCATCTATTAATGCTTTGGTGCTTTTTATTTTTGCCTCTTTTATACAAGCTTCTACTTTTATGACCATCATGGTCTCTTACACCTGTGTCCTCTTTGCCATCCTGAAAAAGAAGTCTGAAAAGAGCAGGAGCAAAGCCTTCTCCACGTGCAGCGCCCACCTTCTCTCTGTTTCCTTGTTCTATGGCACTCTCTTCTTCATGTATGTGCGTCCTGGGTCTGGCCCTGATCAGTATCAGGATAAAATGTATTCACTGTTCTACACGATTATAATTCCCCTGCTAAACCCCTTTATTTATAGCCTAAGAAATAAAGAAGTTTTAGGTGCATTTAGAAAACTGATAAAGAAATAAATATTTTTCAGGAAATCTTTCATTTTTCTTTTTACTGCTTTTAAATAAGGTATAATGATTGTCTCTGGGTTTTCATATAGTAGGGACTGCCTGAATAGTTGTAAAATGAATGAATATTTAGTCTAGATATGCTTGTCTTAGTTATAAGATAATGTGATCATTAAAATAATGAATACAGTAAGTACAATCATTGATTTTTTGTTGTTTTAAATTACTTTTCAAGGATGAAAATGAAAAATGAATCCCCAAGTTGCTAAAACTTTGCAATATGGACTCTTGTGTTTCCAGATACACATATCTAAAGCTCTTCTGAACTTATATTCTTTTAGAGGAAGATTCAGTTTGTGTAAATACTCTGTTGAAAAGGTACTCATGCCCTCCAAAATAATCCTTGGGCAAGTAGTTTTTCAAAACTTTATCTTTAGTGGCTACTTATAATGATCCCAAATATATGAACATCAAATTAATATTGTTATACTAAATATGACAACATACATTCCTCTTGAGGGCTTTGAAATGAATATTTCTAGATTTAAAAGTATTTTGAAAATTAATTATATCTGTGTTGTATTCATTGAAAGATATTAATTTAGCAAATAGCTTTTAATACAATGAACTTTCTGGCAATACAATAAAATGTTGAGTCTTCAAAATGTTTTCCTTTTCAGTTTATTAAGTAATCTTACTGAGTACCTTGTTCAGAGCATTCACATACCAAGTGAATACATTTTCCCACCCCAGAATTGACAACAACCTGATATAGCAGGTGCTATTGTTCAACTCAAAATTATGTAACTTAAATTTTTTTTTTCTTACAAGAGCTTTGTATGTTTTGTGTTAACTAATCTTTGACAAAGGAGGCAAAAGTATATGATAGAAAGGACGGTCTCTTCAAGAAGCAGTGTTGGGAAAGCAGGACAGTTACATGTAAATCATGAAATTAGAAGAGGCTCTCATACCATACACAAAAATAAACTAAAAGTGGTTTAAAGACCTAAGTACAAGACACAAGACTGTAAGATTCCTAGAAGAGAACATAGGCAAAACCTTCTCTGACATAAATCTGTCTCCCAATGCAAAAGAAGTTAAAGTAAAATCAAACAAATTGGACCTGATTAAAGTTTAAAGCTTTTGCACTGCAATGGAAACCAGAACAAAATGAAATGACAATCTACATAAAATATTTGTGAATGACACAAGGGGTTAAAATCCAAACTGTATAAACCGCTCATGCAACTCAATATTAAAAAAAAAAAAAATCCAATCGGAAATGGGCAAAACTCTTGAAAAGACATTTTTCCAGAGAAAACACCCAGGCCAACAGGCACATGAAAAGATATACAATATCACTAATTATTAGAGAATGCAAATGAAAACCACATGGGATATCACCTCACACTGGTTAGAAGGCTATCATCAAAAAGTCTATAAATAGCAAATGTTAGAGGATGCAGAGAAAATAAATCCCTTGTACACTGTTGAAGGGAATGTAAATTTGTGCAGCCATTATGAAAAACAGTATGGGGTTTCCTTATAGAACTAAAATGGGGTACCGTACGATCCAGCAACCTTGCTCCTGGTATATATCTCCAAAAGATGGAAACTAACGAAAAAAGATAGTTGCATCCCAATGTTCATAGTGGCACTATTTGCAATAGCCAAGACATGGAAACAACAACCCAAGTGCTCTTAACAAAATCTTTCTATGTAGATATTAAATCAGTCATAAAAAAATGAAATACTGCCATTTGCAGCAACATGGGTGGACCTAGAGAACATTATACTATAGACAGAGAGAGACAAATGTTACACATCACTTATATGTGGAATCTAAAACATAATACAAATGTATGTATGCATTAGTTGCTCAGTCATGTCCGACTCTTTGCAACCCCATTGACTATAGCCCACCAAACTCCTTTATCCATGGAATTCTCCAGGCAAAAATACTGGAGTAGGTTGCCATTCCCTTCTCCAGGAGATCTTCCCGACCCAGGTATTGAACCCAGACCTCCCACATTGCAGGCAGATTTCTTTAACATCTGAGCCACCAGGGAAGCCCTATTTGCTCAGACGTTTTGAACTCTTTGCCACATGGACTGTAGCCCGCCAAACTCCTTTATCCATGAAATTCTCCAGGTAAGAATATTGGAGTAGGTAGCCATTCCCTTCTCCAGGGGATCTTCTTGAAACAGGGATCGAACCTGAGTTTCCTGCAGTGCATGCAGATTCTTTACCATCTGAGCCACCATGGAAGCCCAATACAAATGAATCTGTGTACAAAACAGACACAGATTCATAGACATAAAAAACCTATTTATGGTTACCAGATAGAGAAAGTAAAGGGGGAAGAGGAAAATTAGAGGTATGGAATTCCCTTCTCCAGGGGATCTTCCAGACCCAGGGATCAAGCCCAGGTCTCCTGCATTGCCTGCAAATTCTTTACCATCTGAACCACCAGGGAAGCCTAGATACAAACTACTACACATAAAATAGATATAAGCAACAAGGATTTACTGTGTAGCACTGGGAACTAACTATATACAATATCTTCTAATAACTTATAATGGAAAATAATCAGTAAAAATAATTGAGTCACTCTGCTGTATACCTATAAAGTAAATCAAATATACTTCAATAAAAGAAAAACCCTACTCCTGGGTTTCACTAATGCAAAACAAAATGTAACACTATAGAAAATTTCCTCCATACTCATAAGTGGTATCTTTGGAGATGATTTCCAAGTTATTGCTATGCTAAGGGGCAGGAACATCTTTTGGGTTGAAAAGGCGTGAACAAACAATAATTCAGAGAGAATGAAAGTTGCCACTTTCCTGAGGCCACCTCATACAAGATTTCCACATCCTAAATGTTTGTCAGAGGAAATCTTAGCGACTCGAGAGGGTTGTTGCATAAATACATAAATTTATTTCTGGTGATTCTATGATTTAACATTTTTAAAATAATTCAATTCTTGCAGATATTCAAAACACCTCAGATAAACACAGTGCTAGACCATGGTTTCCTCTAGCATTTAAAGGATTTGAGATTGCCTGTGACCTTCTTTAGAACAGACTTCCTCAGAACAAGCAGTTCAACTGGTCCTTTAGGGGCATCCCCATGCAAATGGTGGGGTCTGCCAGCTTCATTCAATGGGAAAATTCGCATCTCAGAGCAGTGTATCAGGCATTTTTGGTGTAACCAGTGTGATTCTCAGAAACTCAAAGGCTGCGATGGTGATGATCATCAATAAATCCTTATTTGTTTTACTATCCTAGTCTTTGCAAAAACTGTATAGGGCATAGCTGATAACGGTAGAAACCAGAAACAACCCTGTAGAAACTTTCAATACAATATCTGGTATGAGATAAATGCTACTGATGTGTGCAAAATGTATTCTGCCAATACCAATCATGAATGAGGATTAGAAGTATTTTTTTTTTATTAGTTGGAGGCTAATTACTTTATAATATTGTAGTGGCTTTTGTCATACATTGACATGAATCAGTCATGGAGTTACAGGTATTCCCCATCCCGGTCCCCCCTCCCACCTCCCTCTCCACCCAATCCCTCTGGGTCTTCCCAGTGCACCAGGCCCGAGCACTTGTCTCATGCATCCAACCTGGGCTGGTGATCTGTTTCACCCTAGATAATATACATGTTTCGATGCTGTTCTCTTGAAACATCCCACCCTCGCCTTCTCCCACAGAGTCCAAAAGTCTGTTCTATACATCTGTGTCTCTTTTTCTGTTTTGCATATAGGGTTATCATTACCATCTTTCTAAATTCCATATATATGTGTTAGTATACTGTAATGGTCTTTATCTTTCTGGCTTACTTCACTCTGTATAATGGGCTCCAGTTTCATCCATCTCATTAGAACTGATTCAAATGAATTCTTTTTAATGGCTGAGTAATATTCCATGGTGTATATGTACCACAGCTTCCTTATCCATTCAGCTGCTGATGGACATATAGGTTGCTTCCATGTCCTGGCTATTATAAACAGTTCTGTGATGAACATTGGGGTGCACGTGTCTCTTTCAGATCTGGTTTCCTCGGTGTGTATGCCCAGAAGTGGGATTGCTGGGTCATATGGCAGTTCTATTTCCAGTTTTTTAAGAAGTCTCCACACTGTTTTCCATAGCGGCTGTACTAGTTTGTATTCCCACCAACAGTGTAAGAGGGTTCCCTTTTCTCCACACCCTCTCCAGCATTTATTGCTTGTAGACTTTTGGAGAGCAGCCATCCTGACTGGCGTGTAATGGTACCTCATTGTGGTTTTGATTTGCATTTCTCTGATAATGAGTGATGTTGAGCATCTTTTCATGTGTTTGTTAGCCATCTGTATGTCTTCTTTGGAGAGATGTCTGTTTAGTTCTTTGGCCCATTTTTCGATTGGGTCATTTATTTTTCTGGAGTTGAGCTGGAGGAGTTGCTTGTATATTTTTGAGATTAATCCTTTGTCTGTTGCTTCGTTTGCTATTATTTTCTCCCAATCTGAGGGCTGTC